ATTTTTATTTGATATAATATATATCTGAGAATCGAGGGGTTATCTCTCTCTCTCTCTCTCTCTCTCTCTCTCTCTCTCTCTCGTTCATTTCTCTGTTCAATAAAAATTATGACAACAGATTGCTTATTTAGTTTTAAAAGATTAATCTACGCATGTATAACAAATAATTTCCAACATCTTGACCGAGTATAATCACGGCCGGGAAATGTCTACAGATACATGAAGAAGTTAGCTAAAATAATCGTCATAAAAGAATAAAAAGGCACATAAATATAGAATACATGTACTTTGCAGTAGAATTGAAATAAAACGAGAATTTTTATGCAGTACGATAACAGTCAATGTCAACAGATAATTGTGAATTAAAAAAAAATCCGTTATTTTACTCAGAATCGCTTTGGCACGGAAATATATGTACGGTTGTTTCAACCCCGTAAAATGTAATTAATTCATTCTATTAGTAGTATTTTTATCTTCGGGAGTCCACATTATTTTATTAGTGAAAAGAATGAGCATAATTATTTACTATACAAGTAGATTAATTTATTTTTTAACCACACGCGGTAACAAATACACGTTTGACGGCGATTAAAATCATGCTATTAAAATATCGATTTAAACATAGGTATGTGCAGAAAAAATATTTTTATCTATTTATTGATTGATTAATTAATTAATTTATTTATTTATTGTTTGTCTCAGTAATAGTTAAAAGAATAATCATAATTATTTACTATAGAAGATTAATTTATTTTTTAACTACACGCGGTAACAAAAACATGTTTGACGGCGATTAAAATTATGTTATTAAGATATCGATTTAAACAACGTTTGTGGAGAATTTTATTTTTATTATTTATTTATATCTGTTTATTTGTTTCTCTTTTGTTTATCTATTGTTTATTTATAATTTATTTATGACATTTAAATTATAGAATAAAAGAATAATTTCAATGCAAGGAAAAGACCAAAGGCATTCCGAATAAATCGTTCATCTTGCGTTCACCGTTCGTTCACCGTTCACTTTGCGCTCGCGTTCGCGCTCCGTTCGCGTTCTGCGTTCACTCACCGTTCACCGTTCACACATCGTTCACCAAGTTGCGTTCACCGTTCGCTCTGCGTTCGTTCAGCGTTCGTTCACCGTTCGTTCAGCGTTCGTTCACCGTTCAGGTGGGAAAGTAGAACGTTTCAGGGACTGTATATACAGTCAATTCTCGAATTATCGCCACTCGATTCATCGCCATTTTCGCAATACCGCCATGATTTCCCAAGAACGTTTTTCCTGCTATATAAAATTCTCTTTATAACGCCAAATTCGCATACCGCCATCCGCCACCCTGTTTTCAAAACAAACGTCCATTTTTAAGTGTCAATTATCTCGATATACCGCCACAGATGCGTGCGGTCAGTGAAGCGCGGCTAATTGGTTGACACAATCCCTGTTGTAAAACATGCAAAGCCAGACAAGGTATACGCAATTAAATAATTAAATTAGAATTAAATGAACAAATAATTTTAATATGAACTGTTATAAAGATGTTGTTCTGATGTTTTGTTTAAAAAATCATTTAGTCACGGCTTCGCCACTAAAGGGGTTGTTGTGAAAGTACGCCGAATACAATATTTTTTTGACGATCTCTGCTTTAAACAATGCAAAGTTTGCCAAAAAATAATTATACGGTATAAATTGTGAACGTTTCACTAACAATGATGCCATAAACAATAATTTATTCAAGAAACCATTTTACGTACTGTCAGCAATATATCACGACGATCGACCCAGCATGTTTTTTTTTCAATATCAGACGTGCCAATTTTCATGTACATGGATGCACATGTACTTGTCTTTATTTCATAACTGCACATTTTGTTTTAAAGAAATTGTACATAAAAAAATTACTTGAAGTATTTTAAAACTTAGAAACATGTTTTATATACATGTACATGTAATTATAAGAATAGAAACGCTTTATGATATTTCTAAGAACGGTAACTCTACTTCTTGTTTCCTAAAAGATGGGAAATTCAATTCATCGCCAAATTCGTTATAACGCCATGATTTCTAAATCACAAAAGGTGGCGGTTTATCGAGAATTAACTGTATATATAAGAGGTAAACATTCTTTCTTTCAATTTCTGCAAAATTAAACGGAGTTCCGCGACATCCGGACCGCTCTGCCCCTGGATCTTCCAATGAAGATAATTTCAGTCATTACGATACTTGCATCCTGAAACCTTTTTTTGATTTTTTTGTTAATTTTAAAGGCAACATTACAATTGTGAAAGATACCTAGATCAACATTTATTACTCATATCATTTCCGGTCTATGATTCTTAAATCATTAAAACCTAATTAATCAGAATTGAAGAACAACGAAAATGACAAGACATGTGTAAAAAACATTAAATCACTATATATAGAAAGAGGTAGAGCCAAGTTATGCATAAATGGTCCTGTACTTATATCAAATAATTAACTATCACCCTCTTTCACATTTTATATGTCAAAATAAAGTAGACACTTTGTGCTTTCATTTTCTATAATAAAATTTCGTTTTGAGAATCCAGATATTGGAAAACATGGTTTGAGAAATTGCAATGTTTTTGAAATTTGCAGAAAACATGCGTATTTCACTACCTTCAGCAAAGAATTAAGATATGAGCACAGCCCACGATCCAAAAAATAAAAAATGCGATTTGATCTTCAGAAACAGAGCTTTAATTATGTATTTGCATATTTTGGATCAGAGGCTGTGCTCTATATGAAATATTGAAAAAATTCCTCAATTTTAGGCCATTGTCAAAGGAATTTACACAATATGAGGAAAATGACGCATTTAATGACGTCATAATCAATTGACTAGATGAAAAATTACGTCACAATTAATAGATACAAGGTCACCAACACTCCAAGAAATAAAAACTTCACTTGCAACCTAAACTGAGCGGTTTTGATTTTTCGGAAATTCTCAGGGCCAAATAAGGCCCAACCTGGCTCTTGCTCTTTTCTTTGATTTTCATTAGAAACAAATGCATAGGGTTCACATTTTTAAAAGACAGCAGCTTGATGGTATCAATATTTTATCAATCGGTGTTTTACAATGATTTTAACATTTTGAAAAGAATTCTTGACAAAGCACCTGCAAATTTTGTGCTACTGGCGCATACAGGGCTAATCTTAGACAATAAATCTTTTGATTAAATTAAATAAGCCTGTTTAACATCTTTACAATAAAATAACAAAATAAAAACAACTGTGACAAAACTGCCTCAAAATAATTAAAACAATTACAAGTCAAGTCTATTGTCATGAATATACAAACTGCTAAAGAATGGTCTCGATTTGTCATGAATATACAAACTGCTAAAGAATTGTCTCGATTTGAGATTTTTCAAAAGAAAATTTGTCTACGCATTAAAGGGATTTCGTAAATAGAAATTTTGTCCGCACATTTTAACTGTTCATTATAAATTGTGGAGTATTCGGACAAAGGAAATGATGATAAACTGTGTTTGTTCACACACTTATACATTACTTACATTTTTACGATCTGTAATCTGTGTTATATTTTTCTTTATGAGGGAAAAGTTTTCGAATAAACAATTTTTGTTTCAAAGAGTGATTATTTATTAATTGGTAATAACACCTACATATTAAGATACATGCATATGTATGCATTACCGGTAGTAAGCAAACCGATCTGTGTGCAAGTGTTGGAATTATTCCGGTTCTTTACATTCATGAATTTTTCAAATGAAATTCTTCTGGTTTTAAGGTAAGGTTTGCGTCTCCCTCCAACTCATATTTTTTTTAATATGCACACATGCTATATATCAATTTATTCAGGAAGATTAGCTTCATTATTTAATATCATTTTCAAAGATATTGCCCGTCTCATTTTTTGAGTAAAAGACGCCAAATTTAACGTATTTCATATTTCACCTCATATATTATTTTCATTGAAAAAATTGATTTATTTTATAAATTATCAAACTTTTATTATCAAAATGACCGGAATTAGTATAATTCATGCTTCTATTATTTAAACGTTTAATTTTCCTTTATCAAAAATGTGAAAATTTGGGTAAAAAAGAAGATTTTTCAATTTTCCTTGATAAAGTGAAACCGTTGCCATGGCAACAAAAATATAAAAACCAACGTTTTACATATCTACCGATTCCATCAAAATCCATGAAGTTATTAATTTGATCATTTTCATTAATTTGAACTAAAAAAATCTGTATGTCCCCAATATTATTTCCATGGAAACGGGCTATATTATGTGTTCGGAACTTAAAAATCAGGCTTTTTCTACACTTTTAAAGACAACATTGATATCACCTTGTCATGGTGAAAGTTAAAGACTAAATGTTGTTTTTGATATTGTTTTTAGGCATAAATTGGCAAAAAATATTCAAAATAAAACTCCTCCTGTGCTACATGATGGTCTAAAAATTTATTCCATGGAAAAACTCTAGTATTTATGGCTGTTGTGGAAAGAATAGAAATGCGTCTTGATCGTATAGTGGTTTATTTAGACTCTGTTATTAACTATAGAAACATAACGTACAGTATTGTGACGTAACAATAACGTTAACGTACGTTACATAAACCCGCGGATAATCCATGACACTCCGGGCAGGCACCAAAATGTTGTGGAAAGAATAGAAATGCGTCTTGATCGTATAGTGGTTTATTTAGACTCTGTTATTAACTATAGAAACATAACGTACAGTATTGTGACGTAACAATAACGTTAACGTACGTTACATAAACCCGCGGATAATCCATGACACTCCGGGCACCGAAATGAATTATACTAGAATATTAGAAAGTTCAAATCAAATTAACAGTTCACTGAAATTTAAAATAAAAACAAGTTCATAATCACTTAATTGAGAGGTCCTTTCACGGATTCTTTCTTTGGCTTTTCTTTTTGACAATCGATCAGACGATAGTATTTTAAGTTCGTTCTCATTCACTTCGATTGGATATAGTTTCACAATTGGTCTGTTGGTAAGTCCATTTTTGGTCCGTAAAGTGGCAACTCTAACGAATCCGTCTCTCCTCTGTATGAGTTCCTCGGAGTGTTTGTGACGTAGTTCTGTGTTAGATTTCTCCAGCTCCATGTTTCGAGTCCGTAGATTGGCATTTTGTTTATTATCTCTGCCATGTCCCTGAGATTCTTTTTCTGTGATTTTTCTTTTTCCTTCTCCTCAGCCTCTGTACGTTTTTCTGTCATCTGAGTTTCTTCCCTTCGTGTGTCATCACGGATCCTTACGGCGAACGTGTGATCTTTCTCCCTTCTTTCCACGGGGTCCTGTGAGGTTTGTAGTTGATTTTCAAGTGTCTGTACTTTGATATTTAGCTCACTTATTTGCCTTTGGGCGTAATCATATCGTGACTGAAGACTGATGTTTTTAGCATTAAGATGCTCCAAGTGAGTGCTGTAGGTTTTGATATTAACAACCTGGTCCTTTAATTCCTGAACCTCGTTATGCAAGTGTCCGTTTTCGTGCGCAAGTTTATTCATCTGTTCCATCATATCCTTCATCCCATTCTCCACACGAGTCTGGAAATTTCTTTGTTGGTCGAATTGTAACAATCTCTCTAGCAGGGTACCATTTTCTCGTTCCAAGGTATTCATCCTTTCTGTCTTAGTCTTCAGCTCTGACTTAAGTTGCTGTATCTCGTTAGTCAGCTTGCTACTTTCTTGAATGGAGTCCGCAGTCCGACTCATCGGAGTGGAAGCTGATTTCCATAAAACACTTTTATGTCGTTGTTCAACGTTCATTTCTGTGGGTTTTGGTTTGCTCGTTCCTACAATGTTGACAATTGTTGATTTGGTGGGCTCGTCTCTGTCCCTCGTTAGTTTCATGTCGCATATACTTGTGTGGTGTTTCTTCTGGCACTTTTTACATCTGTTGCGGGATTTACAATCTGCGGCGCGGTGGTTTCCTAAGCAGTTGAAACATAATTTCTTCCGTTTTAAGATGTCGAATCTTGTACTTACTTCTGTAACTTTCTTACAATCCCCTGGAAAGTGATTCTCTGTGCAACAATAAATGCATGGGCGGCTCATTATCTCTGTTGTTTCGACATAAGGAGTTGACTCTTTTGTTTTCTGGTTGTGTCCATTACGAACATGGCGTTGTTTCTTTGAGGCTCCGGTAAGAAACATTGCTGTTGCGTGGAATCGATCGCTGTTTTCAATCTGGCCTGATTCAAGGATTTTGACTTCTTTGCTGATAGCTTTACGAAGATTGAGTAGTGAAATGTTGTCACCATCGTACTCACGTGCAATGTTTTTCCGGATTTCAGCTGGTAACTTGTTGATTATGAGTGGAATAAGTAAAGCTCCGTACATCTCTTGCTTTTGTCCTAGACACTCTAAACTCCTGACATGAGATTCCAAGCAGTCTCCATAATTTCTTAAACTTATGGCGTCGTTTCTCGGGGCATGCAGTTCCATAAGTGCTCTCATGTGTGCATTGATAATTTTCTGGGGTTGACCAAACCGTTCCTTGAGTAGGTCTATGGCGGTTTCATAATTCGCGTTTGTGAGAGTAAATCCTGCAATGGTTTGTGCTGCTGCGTCCTGTAATTGAGCCTTGAGATACGAAAACTTTTGAATTGGTGTTAAAGTTTGGTTGCGGTGAATTGTTGATTCAAATGAATCCCAAAACGTATTCCATTGTAATATATCCCCGTCAAAATCTGGAAGATTTAGCTTCGGTAATCTATGATTATTCGTAGCGTGGTTGGATGGTAATGACAAAACATTTTTCTGCCAATCATGGTTACTTTGTTCATCGAGATCAGTGGCAGGAAAATTGTTTAGAATATTCTCGCAAGCCGTTTCACTTGAGTTGATTGCAGCTGATGTGTTTACGTTACTATCATGAATTTCTAAGGCGGGTACAAAACACTCAGCACTGGCGTTCAAAGTTTTACATGAAACTTTTTCCGTAAATTTTTCTGTTTTCTTAATTTTGCAATCTAATTCGTACATATACTCATCTGTGTTCGTGATTTCTTCTTCTATGTCCTCTTCAGATAATGCGTCTAATATGCGTTCATTTAGTTCTTGTAGAGTTTGTCTTTTTTGCGTTAGGGACTTTCTAATTATTTCGATTTCCTCCGTTACTTCACTGGTTGTATTTTCTTTCAAGTCCAAAAATCGTCCGAAAAGTTTCGTCACCGCTGATCTGTTACCGGCCCGTATGGCTTTCAGTCTTCCTTCCATTGTGCGTATATTATGTAAACATTCCGTCGATCACGGCACCAAAATTGTTGTGGAAAGAATAGAAATGCGTCTTGATCGTATAGTGGTTTATTTAGACTCTGTTATTAACTATAGAAACATAACGTACAGTATTGTGACGTAACAATAACGTTAACGTACGTTACATAAACCCGCGGATAATCCATGACAATGGCAATCTTTACATCTGAATATTCTGATGAAATTGTCCATGAATTATACTGCAACACCTTTAGAAGTACATGTATATGTATATAAACATACTTCAGAACATGTTGCAACTAAACCAAATGCCTATGAATTTGACCTCATGCTGATTAGTTATTCCAACATGTAGTAACTTCTAGACATCTTTTTAGCAAAATATCTTTCTTCAGTTATGGATGGTGATTGTCATTATACAAGAATGCCATTCTTTGAGTGAAATGTTGTAAGCATTGCATCCACGAGGCTGCTGTTTTTATAATTAAATTATTTCTTTACTTGGAATAGTAGAGATGCTATCTTTAATGTAATGTTTGTTTGCCCTCTCTTGACTCAGGGTAAAATTATTGGGTCAGTAGGTGAGAAAATCTTCAACAGCATTTTTTAAGGGGGATAAGAGGAATAAACAGAAAAAAAAATACTGCCCTGCATTGAAAAAAAAGTTTTCAGTCTGGTCATTTAAGTCAGTCGGTCTGGAGAGGCCGACAACCAAACATTTTTTAAAGATGGCCTATTTCTACACTTCATGGACATTAGCTCAATCATTGGATTAGATATAGTCTTAGAATTTAAATTGAAATATCAGACAGAACAAAATAAAGATGAATTCTAAGTGACATCAATTCATACTTTAATGAGTTTACAGAGTACTTCTGATTTCAGAGAAAAGGCAAATTCTGCAAAATGACATAACACTGTCATTATGATAAATATTTGTCAAGAACAGGTAAAAGAAACAATGCTACAGTGATAGATATATTTCCTTGATATCCATGAAATAATAGTTTAAATAATAAATATAACAAAATTTTCTGTTTTTTTTTATCAAAATACATGAAAAAAAATTAAAAGACTATAAATGTAAACAATTTTAAGATAAACTACATGTATTTGTGAAAAAAATTTAATTTTATTAGATTACTAAATTGGTCTTATCATTCCTACTAAATTAACAACCTTACAATTGCCAAGTGTCGTGTTTTAAACTGTTACAGTAGATATAATTATACATGTTCATTGCAGCTTTATATACAAAACTTTTCAGTTTTCAGAAACACTTATTTGAGCATATTAGGTCCTGGGAAGAACAAAATTAATGAATAAAAATATTAATCTTAATTGTTCATGTATTAATTTCCTTGCAATTTTACAAACCCTTTTAAGAAATTTGTTACATATAAGTATAGACAAAAGCAACCTTCAA